TGTTCCAGGTTGTACCATCTGGGCCCCTCTTTGTTCCAGGTTGTACCATCTGGGGCTCCTCTTTGTTCCAGGTTGTACCATCTGGGCCCCTCTTTGTTCCAGGTTGTACCATCTGGGGCTCCTCTTTGTTCCAGGTTGTACCATCTGGGCCCCTCTTTGTTCCTGGTTGTACCATCTGGGCCCCTCTTTGTTCCAGGTTGTACCATCTGGGCCCCTCTTTGTTCCTGGTTGTACCATCTGGGGGCATCTTTGCTCCAGGTAGTACCATCTGGGGCCCTCTTTGTTCCTGGTTGTACCATCTGGGGGCATCTTTGTTCCAGGTTGTACCATCTGGGGGCCTCTTTGTTCCAGGTTGTACCATCTGGGGCCCCTCTTTGTTCCAGGTTGTACCATCTGGGCCCCTCTTTGTTCCAGGTTGTACCATCTGGGGCCCCTCTTTGTTCCAGGTTGTACCATCTAGGGCCCTCTTTGTTCCAGGTTGTACCATCTGGGGCTCCTCTTTGTTCCACGTTGTACCATCTGGGGCCCTCTTTGTTCCAGGTTGTACCATCTGGGGCCCTCTTTGTTCCAGGTTGTACCATCTGGGACCCTCTTTAGTGTCTTGTTCCAGGTTGTACCATCTGGGACCATCCCTCCCTTCACTCAGATAATCACCGCTGAACAAGTCCCCATCGATCTTCTGATATCTATTTCCGTTCGGAACGGAGACTGTTGGGCCGTTCTCTGAGCGTTCTCTAGGGTAAGGGGGGGGGGGCGTAGGGGGGGATGGGGGGTGCCTCCTGTCTGTTCAGAAACATGGGACAGGTAGAAGCATAGGACCGAGTGAGAGGATAGACAGGTTTCTGATCCTATTCTGTGGCTTCAAAGGTCAAAGGTCATTGAGGTCTATGTGGGCCCTTGTGACGGGGCCGAGTGACAGGTGTATGTGGCATGTGGTGCAGGTGTGGACGGTTACCTCATGGGAGTAGACGGGTATGTTGGGGTTCAGTCTGGCCGTCTTGGTGTGACCCAGCGTCTGTCTCAGCTTTGTTGAGACGGCGCCTGAACTGTCGTCGTCTGGTCCTGTGATGAGTGGTTCAGTCGTTATGAGTGACCCAGTTATGTGGCCAAGACCTTTCCTCGTTCCTTGTGGCTATTGGTCCATACGAGGCAGCTCCTATTGGTCCATACGAGGCAGCTGCTATTGGCCCATACGAGGCAGCTGCTATTGGTCCATACGAGGCAGCTCCTATTGGTCCATACGAGGCAGCTGCTATTGGTCCATACGAGGCAGCTGCTATTGGTCCATACGAGGCAGCTGCTATTGGTCCATACGAGACAGCTGCTATTGGTCCATACGAGGCAGCTGCTATTGGCCCATACGAGGCAGCTGCTATTGGTCCATACGAGGCAGCTGCTATTGGTCCATACGAGGCAGCTGCTATTGGTCCATACGAGGCAGCTGCTATTGGCCCATACGAGGCAGCTGCTATTGGTCCATACGAGGCAGCTGCTATTGGTCCATACGAGACAGCTGCTATTGGTCCATACGAGGCAGCTGCTATTGGTCCATACGAGACAGCTGCTATTAGTCCATACGAGGCAGCTGCTATTGGCCCATACGAGGCAGCTGCTATTGGTCCATACGAGACAGCTGCTATTGGTCCATACGAGGCAGCTGCTATTGGTCCATACGAGGCAGCTGCTATTGGTCCATACGAGGCAGCTGCTATTGGTCCATAAGAGGCAGCTGCTATTGGTCCATACGAGGCAGCTGCTATTGGTCCATACGAGGCAGCTGCTATTGGTCCATACGAGGCAGCTGCTATTGGTCCATACGAGGCAGCTGCTATTGGTCCATACGAGGCAGCTGCTATTGGTCCATACGGGGCAGCTGCTATTGGTCCATACGAGGCAGCTGCTATTGGTCCATACGAGGCAGCTGCTATTGGTCCATACGAGGCAGCTCCTATTGGTCCATACGAGGCAGCTACTACTAATCCACCTAAACCCATTCATATATAAGTGTCTCACCTACGCTTGAAACAACCGAGGGTTGCCTCGTTAATAACGCTGTCCGCTAATTAGTTCAACAGGTCAACAGGCCAGTTTCCTAACCATGTCTTTTCTCTATTCTAAACTTGTGTAGTTTGTAACCTGCTTGTATCATGTAACTACCTCTGCTTTAATTGGTGG